CACTGGTCTTGACGAAACATAAAGCCTCTATAGTGAGGAGACTGAGAGGCCGTATGTTATCTGCAAGACGCAGGGCGTCGACCCTGACCCAGGGTGTGACTACCGTAGACGATAGCGCACAGCTATACACCCTTATCAACTGTATGCCGAGAGAGAAAGACGGCGACGTCATCCTCGAGGCTTTTCTCGCGGTGAGTGCTCTTCTTGAGCTGGGTGAGATGTCCTTTGAAAAGTTCGGCGGTGCCTTGAAGGCAAGTATTTCAGCCGAGATAGTGATTATATGACCGAGCGAGGAAATTCACTCGTCTCCTCTTCTCGGTGAAGCTATCTTGGAGAACGCCAAGAGGGTGCTGAACGCACAAAGTGAGTCATCAATCAAAAAGGATCCCTCAGATCTGTACTATCCTTTGGTGAAGAAAATTTAAGACGTCGTCTCCAAAGACCCGCCATTGGTTCTACCTCCGGACCGAGGTGTGCGTCATGAGATCGATCTGGTTCCAGGTATTGAATACTGAGTAATACGCCAATGGCCCCTTCCCAATATCCAGTGCGACGTCACTGACGCCATTTTCCGCGCGATGCACGACGCAGATATAGCGCGTGAGAGTAAGTCTCCCCATTCGACACCCACGTTTTGTGTCCGGTAGCCCCTCGGCATGTGGTGTATTGTTCACGCTTTCAATAAACTCGAACAAGAAATTGTCGGCGCGATTGCGCGCACGGTTACGCCGACATTCGTTGAACAATAGGTTGCTGTATTATAGCACCAATTCAACGGATACGCCATGGATTGTGGTTCGATAAGAATTTGTAATACCGTTTCCTCTATGGGGCCCACGACACCCCACTCAGTGATCATCTCGGTCGTGAAAAGACGTACAGCTCGGAGAGTTGATGGCCCAAGCTGTACGAATGGACGAGCACATATGTGCGCACGTGTGAGGGTGAAACCTTCTCTGAATACGGCGGCGCCGCTCGCCAGTTTGCCGGTACCCACCGGATGTTGGCAGTTCATGAGTATGGACCGAAGGACTCGGCAGGCAACACGGGTGTGAAGGTCTTTGTGAGCCGTTTAAGCAAGATAGCTCATCTTGCGGCAGTGCCGGGCACCATCGACGGTGTGGATACAGCGATGCTGTTTGTCGATCGTGTATCTCGACACCATGGAGTCCCGGAGTCAATTGTATCTGAAAGAGACCCTAGGAAGATTTGCTCTACAATCTTCAGGGTGCTGCGAACCAAGTTGACTATGTCAACAGTGTACCATCCGCAGACCAATAGAAAACTGAGCGCGTGAATCGCGTCGTTGAATACGTCTTTCGAAGCGTCTGGGCTGAAACGCCGGAGCGCTGGAGCGCTTTGTTGCACTCGTAAAGGATGCAGTGCATTCATTTACCTGCTATACGCAGGTCTACGTCAACGGGCTTATTAATCCTCACGTCCCGGTGACACCGCCATCCCATGGCTCAGGGCTTGGTTGGGGAGGGATAGCCGATCGGATAGCTGATGTCAATCCCCTTACAGTCCGTAAAGAAGTCGATGACTTATTGTCTACCAGACTGAGTGTCCGACGACACGTTCGCGATGCAATGGCTGAAAGCCAAACATGCAGATTATGCAGACGGAAACGCAGAAGAGATGTTCCAATCATTGAGGTCGGAGACCCGATTTTATTAAATTCTTAAACCTTCCTACACATGCAGTTTCTGCTGTCTGTAAGACAAAGCTCCATCCGCGGTTTATTGTTTCTTTTAAGGTAGTGACCAAGCGACGTCATGCGTATACGCTAAACCTTCCGAGAAGGACCCACCCGCTGTTTTATGTGGGCTTGCTCAAGCCGTACCGGGATCCGGCGCAAGTGGAGTGGTAGCGTTGGCGCCGGAGTGGCGCCCAAAGGTGCTCGGCCACCCAGAAATTGAACCAGTAACTGGCTCTGAGGACGGAGTGCAACGATCTCCGTTTCCAACGGCGCAAGGCGCTCCACCGCAGCACAAAGTGACGTATTCGTCTGCTTGACGGCTAGTAGCCTCTCCGACTGAGCACAATAATCCTCAACGCGAGGCAGTTGGTGCACAATGTGCTCCAAACTCTCTACCTTCCTCCACACAGCCGTTGGCGACCTCGGAGAGATGAGTGCCGATGACGGCGGACTTTGTCGTCCAACGCTCGAAGGGCATCGCGAGTCACCGGACGGCGATCGACCAAGTCGACACCGCTCGCTGCCGACTCTTCCCGATGAATATAGTGGCATCCACTACCACGTAGGACGCCGTGTGGGTCGACGTCATCGATGGGGTTGAATTCAATACCTTGTGAAGTGGCGGGTATACCCAAACTCCGAGAACTCGTGGGGATTTGACGTGCCGCTTCGACAAGAATGCCCGGACGTTGTAGACGCTTATGATCAGAAGGATCATAGCGCTTCGCGTCGTCTTGCGCACCGCACTTCTCGGCTGTAGTCCAGAAAGCCGGAGGACCATGAGCTGCTGTGGTAGTAAACTCACCCATGTGAGAAACCTCAGAGCTCGCGGGAGTGTATTGGATTGTTCCATATGTCGCAGGGCGACAATACGCAGTAAGTTGGCGCTATGCCTTGATTTTAGCAAGCTCAAACCTAAGATAGCACTCTACGCGCAGTTTCACTTCCTTATGGCTTCGCTGCGAAGCTGACAGCGAGGGAAGTTTTCGGTGCCGCTGCACCCATCACTCAAAGAGCTCCTCATCATCCGCAGAGGTTTCGCAGGGGCAAGCATCACAGAAATCGCTCGTGTTGCGGGTACAAGAGCGCCTTCTCCTTGAGCTCGAAGTCGAGCGCGGTGCCTATCCATTGGAAATTCTTAAAAAAACAAAAAGCGAGCTCGGATATTTTTCCGCTGATCAAGCTCATCCTGTGTACTGGCCGGGGCCCGACTACGTAGGCATCTAATGATCGAGTAGTGGTGTCTTTCGCTTCGGTAGCGGAATTTGCCGAGCGGAAGCCGTACTCAACACGAGGTTTTGAGACCGAACGTGGATATGAGCGCAGGAGAGCCGCCCTGTGAGCAGCCTCCAATTGCTGCTCCTGTGCCTCGTCAAGGCGATTGATAACAGAACCACATCCCCAAAAGCCGAGAGGCCGGGGAACGGACATGGTACCCGCAGGGTTTGAGCTGGGCTCACGTTGTGCCATTGGCGCACTTCATCTTCCTCGTCATCCCATACTGGGAAGAAGCGTCCGACTCGTAGTCGACTTCCTCCAACTCCTCGACGAGAAGCCCCGTCGACCGGGGCGGGCGTGGTGTGCTGCGCTCAGTCGCCTTGGTCTTGTGATGTGCTTTCCGTAAAGCCGCGCACATACTGTCCGGGGTCGCGCCCGCAGACGCCCTCGCTACCAGCCAAGCTTGATGTTTCGCGTGTCTAGACAGTGCTCATAGAGCGGAGAAGGGTTAAATTTGTTCCTGGGAACATGGAGGTTTCTCAGACACGCGAGCCTCGTATGAGGCGACCGTTAAATGTGAATTGGGGATATTCACAATTTTAATGGGGAAGAGTGTAACGGGGTTACACGTTCCCTTGTCAGAAAGGGCGGGTCACACAAAATTGTGCGACCGTACATAGGTGTGTATAACACAGTTAGTGTAATCACACAGTGCTGTGGCTACACTGTTAAAAGAAGCCACGACGTGGCAGAATTGCTACTAGAAATGCACATAATTACATTGATTTGGTTTTGCTATATTAATTAGGTATTACTATATCAATTCGGAAAAGCTCAGGTTTTGATATTGGCGGCTCTGTCGCAACTAAAACAATCAAATACAGTTTCATTTCGAGCAGAAGTTTTTGTTTGCCTTGGTTAAGATTTTTAGTTCTTAGAAGTAGCGGATTGCGATCCGCTACACTAATACTAGTTCTTGGAAAGAACGTAAGGTCGGTGACCTAAACCTAGCTTCCTCTAAGCAAAGAGCTACGGCAGCCCCGCTGCAGTTTTAGTCTTTTCACCTTGTCGCTTTATGTGCTCGTTCGTTAACACCTTCACAACGTCTTGCGTCCGTAGTTCTACACTTTTCATCTCCAAGTTGAGTACGACATTCTCGTAGCTCTTAGGTAGACTTCGAAGCAGACAAATTGCGACGTCCTCATCTTCCATCTTTGCGTCGATGCTGCTGAGCTTGGCGCTGATGTTGTGTACCTCGTTGCAATGATGCAAGACATTGTCGCCTTCCGCCATCTCCGGCTGAATAGTTGACGCTTCAAGAAAATGCGTTTAGCCTTTTGCAATCCACCGTAAAGCATCTTGATTCGATCTAGGCACCATAGGCTTCTTCATCGCCGTCAACTAAATGATAGTAGTCCTCGTTCCGTATGCAGTAACGTCAGGCCGAACGCATTGGTGCTGGCTCAGTGACGTGCCTCACCGACTTGGTGAGAAACACGCCGCGCGTGTAACGGCTCTACGTGGCATAATTATCCCCGCTGAACTTGTCGACAAGTAACTTCGGCGGGGCTTCCCAGCGCTGATGACATGGTCGTTTGGCTCAAAACCCATTATATTTCTGAGGACGGGGCTGGAGAAGAAGGCTTAAGAGTCTTTACTTGAGGCGAGGACCCTTTAGTAATTTTAGAACATCACCTCTTTTTAGGAGTCGTGTAAGCGATGTCAAGCGCGTGCTGTAAGCTTTTATTCATTACACTCGGCCTCTCGGTTCTGAAGCGAGCAGCACTCCACTGCACCACAGGATCGGTTAGGCGAAGACACTTGAGGGAGAAAGTAGGTATTTATTTATTGGGGCGTATATTCTACTTCCCGTAACTATCTTGAACCCTAAAAAGTAAATAAAAACATGTTAAACCGTGGTCCAAGTCGGGTTGTGTACATTACCTGACTCTCAATAGGTTTAAAATCATGTCGTACCGAAGTCATCGTTGCGCAATCTTATTTTCGAAAGCTTGAAAAGATATAATAATCAATCGACTTATCAAATTAAAGCAAGCTGATTTTTGTCCTACCTAAAAAAATTATGTCTCTATCCACGCTCATCATGATTCTGACAGCTCCCGTCATCGCAATTGATACATCCTATTATCCACCCCGTGATAGTGGATTAGAAGCTCTAGAAGCCTCTGAGCTGTACACTCTTCGATCGCCCGTTGATTCAACCGTTTGGCTGGAGTATGAGCGTTTTCTGCTCTCACAAAGTCGCGTGACACCACTGTTGCTTTACTTTACACCCGCGTTAACATGCTCCGATGACAAGAACGAGGACGATAGTGTCGTAGGTCAAGAAGAAGAAGTTCTAGCATTCGAGAATGAAACATGCTGGCGTCATCAGAAGCTGGTGGAGGCTACTGTGAAGCTCGCAGCCAAGATGCTTTCCAACCCGAAGCCATTGGTCGTTCGTATTGACGTAAGCATGTGGCCTAAAATGCTTCATTATGTAAGATATCAAAATTCTAGGCAGGACAACCATTGCTTTCTCTTAATTAATGGTGTTGACGCTTGATGTGTGGGTTATAGCACCTGATGTCGACGACGCCTTCGCTGTTGTGGATACCCGGACGTGCGACTGGTCGCTTTCAGCGCTATCCACATGTGGAAACAAATTTCTTGGACCTTCGCGTCAACGGAGCTTTGTATGACCGATATTTTGCTGAGAACGTTACAATGGGCGAAAAGTCTAATGTCGAACGACAATGTCACTTGGCCAAGGAAACTGCGGCCAAAAATATAACAGCATTTGTGCGTCTGTGTCAGGAAAGGAGTGGTTATCTCACTCGAAATGCGAACGGTCAATTGATTCCAAGGGTTTTGGTGGATTCTAATGATGACGCGTTTTCGGTGCTAGAATTGATTCCAATTCTGGCGTTTTTGACCTTTATCGCCCTCGTGATCAACGACAACCGTGCATTCGTGCTTAATTTGGTTCAAACGCGTTTATTCTGGTTCATTTTGTGTTTGATAGTTACCTATGTTGCGCTGAGTGGATTCTTTCACGCAATTATTTACCGCCAAGCTTGGTTTTACTTTAGCGAAATGCATGGTTTCGTATTTTTGTATCCAAACTCACGGCGTCAATTTGTACTGGAAGGACTTGTTAATGGCACTTGGAGTCTTTGGATGTCATTGGGTTTGATGAGTATTTCAGATGTGCTGCCGACGTTAAGATCCTATTACGCACAGAAAGAACTTCTTCGTTGGTCGCTATTTCTTGTTGCCATCTCGTACCTGGCGCTTCATTTTACATTTCTCATGAAGTACCCTTGGTTGTCTTAGTCAAGAAGTATCGTCGTCGGTCGGAAAGCTTTACAGATGTTCTAATACAATGTTGATTGCAGAAAAACGGTTTACTTACACCACTAGACTATCAGTGACGCTTAAAATGGTTAATTTTATGTTTTATACTCATGACGTGCGCAAGAAAATAATTTCTTACTGCCTAATGAATATGATCACACGTCTTGCATTTCTTGTTCCAAACTTGGTGTGCGTGGGGTACGAAGACCTGGCAATTGCACACACTGCAAGTTCCCATCATGCGAGATCGTTCAGCCAACACCTCCTTGTGCTCCGCGATGCCGCGAGTAACGCGATCTAAAGCTTCATACAGTGGTCTTGCCGCCGTGGGCTGGCTTACAGCACCGCCAAGAAGTGCACTAGCATTCAGATCCTGTCCGTAGAATTTGCGATTCAGATCATCACGTGTTGCGATCACTGAACCTTGCAGTGAAACGCCTGCATAGAGCCCTTTGCTGATCGAGTAGCTATAATTGCCATTGAGTCCAGTGCTACTGATCGCTGCAGCCGCTTCTGCAGATCGTCCATACGGACCGACTGCGACATCCAGACCACCTCCCACATTGACTTGAGGTGAGTAAAAGACTTCCACAGCAGCAGGAGAGCCTAGAATAATCATGACTTCGACAATCTCACCGCCAAACTGAAACCCACCGCTCAGCCCCACAGTCCCGATAGCGGAGGGTGCAGACCACGATCCGTCCGACAGACGTGCTATTACAATACCTGTACCAACCTTGCCAACGACAACAACTCCTGCTTTTACAATTGTCATTATCGCCAGACCGTGCGCGTGTTCCAGCAAAGAGATTGGAATTGACCTATCACCAGAGGCACCCGAATCGTTTCGAAAAAAGTTGCCAATAATATCAGCAGCATTTGTGCACTCTTTCTCTAAGGTGGGTGAAAATGGCACGTGTAGCCTCGACTTGTTTTCATGTGGAAGAACTTCAGCATTTGCCTTGGCGAATCGAGCAACTAGATCGGCCTGGAGTGGACGCAATCTAGGCGCGCAGTGCAAACATGCTCGTTGTGGGATGGATGGATCGTAGCCTCTAGCCCCTACAATCTCGTCTCCTTCTGGGATTAAAAGCATCAATGGAGAGCAATTGCCACAGATGTAGCGACCGCAAGCACGGCTGTATCGAGAACAAAGCAATAAAGGTTTTTCTTGTTTTACGAAAGCAGCAACTATCACTCACCACTGATGTCGACGTCTCGTCATGTCAAAAGATAGCCCACAAACATCACAATTTGGGTGATCAGAGTATCGACCAGTAAAAATCCCAGAGCTGCTTGACGACAGCACGCGTCCGCTTTTTTTGGTCTCTTGGGCTTTATCTGATGGAGCTACCGAATAATTGTCTTTTTTTGCGTCTCCACCTACATAAACGACGGGAATAGCTGATGGAGTGTTGCCGTTGGGCGGCTGATGGTACAAAAGCGCCTTCTGGTCTTGCATTTCGTACGACATTTGCCCCTCAAAGTGACTTCGCGGTGGCTGTTCCACCTGATAAGGCTGTATAGCATGTTTTGTGTCACTGTTGTACGGTGCACCGCATTCAGAACAAAAGCGACCACTACCACTTGCACCGCATTGCATGCATTGGGGCATTGCTATCAATGCTTGCACCTTCCTCGAAGGGATAGCTCCAGAAATGAGATGGATGACATTTGAGAATGAATACCGTAACCTCTAAAAAATCCAGCAGCCACACGGACATAAACTGGTAGGTGACAAGTGATTATTTCCTAAATCTTAAAAACTTTACTCTCTCCTTTAACCAAGCTTTCACGTAATTAACGTCAATTCCTTGTCACAATCTAAGCCGCGAAACTCGTAGGCTCAGCACCTACGCCACCGCAGTGCTCGTGCACCAGCTTCGCAAATTGCATTGCAAGAGCGTCAGCATCCTGCTGAGTAGTCGCCTCAGCGTAAATACGCACGACATTCTCCGTGCCCGAAGGACGGACAAACGCACGGCCGCGCTTGTTGGTATACTCCTGCAAGACCCCGTCCAAAGCAGTGCGGAGATTCTCGGGTGTCAGAACCTTTGTATCGTCCTCTTCATCTGATTTGACCACATCGCGGTCTGTAACCTTAATCTTCGTCTGACGACTTGGCAGATCAAGATAGATGGCATCCCAATCAGCGATACTCCAATTCTTTTGAATGAGAAGTGCCTCTACAAACAGCAGGTCGCAAATGGCGTCGCCTGTTGCCTGATTCACCAGCTGTGATGCAGCTAGCAGTTGCGACAGTGCCAACTTTTTGCGCTCGTCGTGCAGCGTGTTCTCCCATTTGTGAAGCTTTTCTAACAATGTATCTTTGAGCACAACTGTACCGTGGCCATTGGACTCGAAGTATACTGCTATGTCAAATTGCATCGCCTTCTCGTGACAAAATTTGACACCTGTCTTGGCTTGAGCCACACGAATGCCTTTGGACTGCAAATATTCCGTTGCAGCGCCATTAGCGTACGCAGTCAGCACGCACCCAAATGTGACGCCTTCTTGGTTGAGCTCTAAGGCCTGCAACTTTTCGTCCAAGAACTCGGCAAATAGGCATGCAATCTTGTTGCCGTCAAGCAAATGCCAAATTCCTTCGTCGTCAAAATAGTGGAAAACTACACGGTCGCCGTCCCCATCCATGCTGCAGTAGCGTTTGCCACGGTCATTCTCACGGGTCATATTAATGGGCGGCTGGCGTGACTTTTCGACGTGTTCAGCACCGCACTGAAGGTTCAATTCGCCATCTCCAGGCGTATTGACGATTTCTAGACGAAGTGAATCACCCAAATCTTTAGCCAGTTTCGCCATCTGCAGCGCCCCAACGCCGTGTGCACAGTCTACATAGAGCGGTGATCGATCCAAGCGCTTGATACATACAAATCAGTCGCCACGAGCAAAAAAGGCTGAAAATCGAATAGCCTCACCTTTGAATCGTGTGTGGCCGTGAGTTGCTTAAAGGCATCACTGAGCATGTTGTAGTAACCAACCTCTGACGCCCAGTCTCCTTTGTTGTAGTGCTCATAGTTCCACTGTAACAAAAAAAATAGTGAATCATTCGAAATACTCATTTCTGTAAACCTTTTGAAAATAAGTGGCACATACCATGCGAACCAAGTGGTGCAGTTGAGGCGTCGTCTGTAGTCCAAAGTCCAGCACGTTGCCGCCGATCACCAGCGCCCCCTCACGCGCAAGCTCGGCTAGGTGCTCGCTAGATGGACGCGTGTCTTTAGCAATAAAAACATTGCCTGTTTGATCAAGATCAATCTTCTCGGCAGCTACAACAGCGTCTAGCACCTCAACAACTTTTTCCTGGGGCGCGTTGGCCAGCTGCATGGCGTACTTCTCCCACTTTTGGCTCAGCATTTCACCCCTTGGGTCAATAATTTTTAAGCCATTGTCTTCTGCCGCGTTGTGTGATGCCGTGATCATTACACCAATTATCTTCCCCACACTCTTGGAGCGCAACACTGCCAGCATTCCCATACGATGGCATGTGGAGACTAGTAGACTTGCATCATCACGGAAACCCGCCGTGCCATAAAGAAGCTCCCTTGCACCCAAACGTTCAGCACGTGGGTACTTGGTCGTTTCTTCGGCCACGCGCGGCGTTTTGTCCAGTACGCTTACACTACTCATATTCGTCACCCTTATTCTTCCTCTTCTTGACACTTTTTGCGAATGTGAGATATGAGGATCCGCTCGTCGCGGCTGCGTATTGGCTGAAAAGGCCCAAGTGATATAGGATTGGTAGAAATTCGAGCATTGCAACTTGTAGTTTACGTGGCGCGAATAATGTGCGTAGACTGATAAATATTCTCCAATGGCTCGATTTGCTGCTCCCTTTTTTGATGAAGGTACGTGCTAGTGCTGCACCTCCGTACACCCACCTTCGATACCTATTAAATGACCTAATTAGCCATCTTTGGGGACAAATTGCAGCTCACTTATATCTTCATGCACCGAAACAAGGATATCATCGATAGTTTGCACAGCATTTTCTACGTTTTGGAAAGCACCCACAAGGTAGTGAAGCTGACGCAACAGCTTAAGCAGGATGACATCTGTCGCCTGCTTGGAGGCTTTGAGTCGTGCTCTTAGTTTCTTTAAAATAACACAAACCAATATTAGCTATGGTTGAAGCATTAAATATATGTTCAAAACCTTACCATCGTCCGGCGATATCGTGCCAGTCGACTCGATCGACAAGCAGCACATGGCGTATGCTCATCCGTGCCATCATTGACTTCTGAATTGCTGTAGTTATTTGATTCACACGAGCATGGGCTTCCAAGATAATACGCCTGCAAAGTTCCATACTCTTCCGCGTTAAACGGCAGCTTCGCGATGTCGGAAACCACCTTGCGTATATGAACTTCCATCGTGCTTTCGTAGCGAGGACTTTTTAGTGACAATCGCTTCTCATAAGATCCACCTGATCGCGGAAAGCGACCCATTGAGCCACGCGACGGGATTCGGATGACACGTGGTGGTGGCCGATTGCTATTCGCTTGAAATGGAGAGCTGCTTCCGCCCACCACTGAGCCAGACGCACTGTTGCCAGGCCCGTTGTGAGGTGGGGGTAGCAATCCAAGCAATGCATTGGCACTTTCTGAGCGTGAGCCACTGCTACCGCCATTAACACTACTAATACTACCAGACGAAGAGCCAGCTTTAAGATTACCTTCGAGCTTTTGAAACTTCGGATGCTGAACCACAAGCAGCAAATTCTCCCCATCATCGATATTTGCACCTGAATCGGTTCCAGATGACATCCTGTCAGCTAATATGCTACCTGCATCTTCTGGAGACTTTCGTTTGTGATTGACGGGGTTGCCCGATAATGTAGCTGTAGCTTGTGCGGTAGCAAGCTCATCATGTAAATTTCTTAAAATCACTTCATTCCTTGGTAATCTATTGGAGTCTCTCGTGTCATCGCTAGACCTGCACGTTGCTGGAGCCGCCACTACAAGACTTAGATCTACTCCAGTAAGCTTAAACAGCACAGAGTGCACATTTGCATTGACAGCACCGACAATACACGATGCAGCATAATTGTTGGCACCCTTTGAAGCTAACGAGGCGCCGTTTAAACTTGGATGTTGATTCTTTTTCATATATTGAGTACTCGCCCAATCGTGACCATCCACGAGCAAACACAGCAAGGCAGAATTTCTAGCCAGCCCTACGACGCTAAGCTCGCGCAGCCCCAAGAGCGACATGTGGGTGTAGCTTAGATCCAACACCCGTAGCTCGGTATTCTGAGCAAGTAATGCACCAAACGCACAAGCACCCACGTCGCCTAATGGATTATGATCCATGTACAAGTTTTGCAGCCGATTCGCTCCACACAAAGAACGCGCAAGGGCAATCGCACCTTCCTGGTCCACACCATTTTTACCGAGCTCCAATGTCGACAGGGCTACTTGGCCAGTGGCAAATGCGGAAGCTAAATGACTCACTCCTGCACTTCCCACTCTGTTCTGTCCCAGCGTCAATTCCTCTAACGACTTGTTATGAGTTAATGCTGTTGCAATACTCTTTAGGCCAGCTGCGCCTATGCCATTCGTGCCCAGATAGAGTGCTCGAAGTGCTGTGTTGCCTGCAATACCGTCTGCCAAAAAGCGAGCTCCATCTTCGCCAATATTATTGCCGCTGAGGTGTAAACTACGCAAGTGCGTGTTCTTGATCAAGGCACGAGCCAAAGCTTGGGCTCCCGTGGGTCCAATTTCATTGCCTGATAGATACAGATTTTCAAGCGACGCATTTGATTCTAGTACTTCAGCCAATCGAGTCGCGCCTTTGTCTGTCAGTCGATTAAATCCAAGATCTAACGTACGCAACTTTGATGCGTCTTGAGCCAGCACGTCGCCGAGCAGTCGAGTACATGCATCACCTAGCGAAAAACCATTCAGCTTTAGCACTGTATATGGATCGAGATCCTTACAGATCTGGGCGCTTACGGCCACCCAGTCCGTTGCGGGCTTGGCGGCAGCGTCAACGTCGCGGTACAATTTTTGAATGTGGCTGTTGATGAGTTCACGCGACGGGGAAGCGTCTGTTGCTTCATCATCTGTATTACGTGTAGCGTTGGCGGTAATTGGCGGAGACTTGTTCACCAAATCGTCACTGTTGGTGTTATTACCAAGGTTTATGGTCTTGAGATGCGCCTGGAACTCGCGTTCGCTGTACTTGAAGCGCGCGCTCACGTCCCGCATCATCCAGCAGCAGGCGGGAGTAAAAGCGATTTGTGCTGATTTCTGTCACGGTGAAAGCGTTTGCAGCCTTAAAAGCGATCCGCAGACAGGAGGTAGAGCAGGAGGCAGTGGTCGCGTAACTCGTCAAAGACCTGAGCGATGACTGGAGTGGCTAGAGAGGGGAAGGGCAAGCTATACCTGTTTTACTCTGCGAAAAAAACAAGACCTAATGTCATTGGTTGTAATACAAACAGCGTAAGCAAGAAGACTAATGGTATGTATGTCATGCAGTACGGTAAAGTTTACAAACCGCAATATTATGTACAAAAAGTTTCGATAGGATTGGAAGTTAGGGTACATGAACGATGCCAAACTCAGAAGTACGGAAAGTACCATGATGAAGTGTCATGATTTGAACCGGTACGGATGATGATGGTGGGACTTGGTAAAGGAAAGGTCCGTGGAACGCGTGGGCTGGTCAAGCAATGAAGATTGTATATTATTGGATTGAGAAATGTATGCTTAGTATTAGCTAATCACTAATTCTAACAAATATTTCACCCTTGATATTGCACAGCAACCCAGGTAACTCGTTCTTTTTACAGGCTCGTGGCTCCACAACTTTATACAAACCTCTGTAGGCTTCATCTGTGCAAGGTGCACAACAAACGCGTTGCACTTGGTCGCACTCTTGTCAATCCGAAGATAGAGTCGTGAAAATATTATAATCTCTGTGGAGATAAACACAAGTTGTCTGATTTCATGCCCCCGGGACAAGCAGACATGCCTCAAAACCTTATGTCTATTATTGGTCGGAAGAATTTCAAAACACTGGTCGTTCAAAGCCTAAAGCAGTATTTGCTCGCCTGGAGGCGGTCATAGGCTGCATAAAAATGCTGGTAAAACACCTTCGGGAATGCCATTATCGCCCACCGCGAGTCCACTGATGTTTAGCGCCAAATACTTTGAGGGCACTGACAGAGAAAATCTCTACTCTGAATTAGAAAAATAGATTACCATAATCTAAGCCATGCTCTATATGGAGCGACAGCGCGTCACGCTTGCAGTCAAGCTAAGAAGCCGTGTGCGAATATGAACACAGCGTTCAGTACCGCTGTGCAGAAGAACAGACGAATCAAAGCGACATATTTCAGTGATGCTTGCAATGCCTACCCAGGCGCATATAGTGCGTTCTTGGTTCACCGCCGCAATGGCGCCAAAACCCTTTTCAGGAGTGGTAATAGTTATCATCTTCATGGCGGATCTCCGAATGGACGGGGCTCTCATCGGGCTCTTGTGCACCAAAAAGCGGTGAGGTAAAAATAACTGCGGAATAGATCTTCCGTGTCTCGAAAGTCAGTCAAAAAACGAACGTCGAAGCTCTACGGGCGCGCCAGAGGCAATAGACCTCTGTCATGTTGAGATAGAAAAATCTCTTGGCTACCGAGTAGCCCCGCAGCATTCGCAGATATCACATCAGTGGTGAAATTAAAACGTATGCGCCTTGTGTGCCCCCTTCGCTAGTGGTGGATAGGTACAAACGGTTGAGCTATCACACAAAGTGTTCCGACGAAACCAACGGCGAGTTCCAGTATGCGCAGGGTAGTCAACTGGAAAAATTATGTTTTACTGTACCTCGTGAATGTCGTGGATAATGGAACTCATCCCTTAATTGAACGACATTATCATAGCAGAAGTTACGATTCAAATTTGTTGGTTGTTAACACTAACGGCCTGGGCTTTGTGAAGCATGTCCTGATGAATATGAAGCATTGTGTCATTACGTACGATGTGTGACTATTCAAAACAGTAAGCAGTAGATGCCAAACCCAGATACAATATTCGAGAGGAAATTTGCGTGACGCCCATTTTTCTCCACTTCCAGTCGATATACGGCTAACGGCATTCATGTCACGTCATGCCTAGGATGACATCATATCTCAATTGTAGGTCCAAGCATAATCAATGTTTACCCTGTCAATACTATAAAACTCACAGGTCGACAAAAGCTTCGACACTTTCACTATTTTCCCCAATGCAAACACCGGTGAAGTTATGACGAGTCATGGGCTCACCTCTGCCAGAACGCAGAACTGGTTTTAGCGCGGGCATGAAATAATATAGCCTATGTGACACGCCCACCGCGCATGCTCCAAGGGATTCGCGAAAAAGATTAAACTGGGCAAGGAGGGGCTGATTTTCATGAGTGGATTATATTAAGGAAAACATGTGCAAAGTATTGCAGGACGGTGAAATCACCGAAATGGTGCAGCAAGTGCCCGAGCAGAAGCTGAGCTCATCATCTGTCACGGAGGAGTCGTCATTGAAGGCACTCAAAAAGGGTGCGAGGAAATAAACTGCTCTCCTTAAGCATCCTACGCTGTGAAAAGAGAGCCGCGAAGCAATAATTGGAGCCAAATATTACTCACTAATAAACAGTGTGATGTCACTGACGTTTTTTATGGCAAGCAAAAAGGAGAATTGGTGATAGAGAGAGTAAACAACTCACTCGGTGTCGTTTTTGTGTCAAAAAAAGGCAAGTGGCAAATTGTGCATGCTTTTGATAAGCCAGATTCTGCCATTTACGGCTAAAACGCCAACTACTGCTACAGAATAGCATAGTAAGTTTACACTGCTCAGTCTACTTGGCCTGGTTGTAGGGCATGACTATCTACGTATGATAGACAGCGATGTTTTTATTGTTTCGTGAGACTTCAAGCGGGATACCCTGAGAGTGGCTGGAAATGCCAATGTTACGATCGATCGCACTATAGGCGCATGATTATCTAGTGATGCAGCAGACGAGATCGTGGCTATGCACAAACCTTATGCTTTCATAGTCGTGTCAAGCACAGTGATTCAGTATACACGCTTAAATTAATGTGCTGCTGTCAGACGTTTGTCGAAAAACAAATGTGACTTTGGCGCTGACAATTTTTACTATTTCTTGCTTCATAAGAAAGCATGACGTCCCATATAGGTCAAGGCCGTCAAAAATTGGCCAGTGTCTTTGCCTCAAGGTTAGATTAGGAAGTGTTTTGGCCTAGCAAGCTACATACACAAGTATAGTCGCAATTTCTGCGCACAAGTCACGACTTCCCCCTCTCCACTTTGTATAGCTACCAAATGGTGCATATGTAGGCAGAAGAGGCGGTCTTCATAGCCGTATGCTAAAGTCACATGTGTGCTCCGATTTTGGATCGTACGAATATACATTGGTCATTTCATACCGATGTATGATCTGTAAGGATCACATACAGCTAAGGACCAAGCAGGGGCGCAGTGAAGACGACAAAAGCATTGTAGCCCCTTGTGTAAATTTAAGCTCCTTTCTGCTGATTTATGCTAGCAAGACTTACACTTGCATGCCCATCGACATCCCCATGATGTGAAACGCGCCCTATTGCAAAGGCTGGAGCGTTGCGCACAAGTTAAGATATAAGCTGGTTCAATCGAATGTTGGTGGACGCATTTATTCTTTGCCCTGACTGCGAATGGTCGTCCGTCTCAATAGTGACGCTACGAATTTTGATGGATCAGTACAGCATACGGGTGTAGACGCAACATGTGTTGTGTTGTTGAAATTCATGGAAAGCAAGGATTTGAGGAACTCAGAACTCGCTTTATCAAAGCGTTCGATTACATGTTCGCAGGAATGTCCATTGTCGCAAGGCGTCTTACTGGTTAGCGTGTGGTGGTCTTTTATAAGGAGGGAGTCAAATGTACAATACTGATCGAGGCATCTGATACCCCTTTGGGTGGCCATCTTGGCGGAGGAAACGTATTGCACTATGTATCGGTGGTTTAACTTGCGCACGTGGGTAAGCGCATATGTGCTCACGTGCGGAAGCTTGTCAACGGGCTCGACCCTCATCGCTTGGGGTAGTATTTTAGGCCAGCCTGCTGATTACTGTAGGGTGTTGGCAGTCCATAAATTTGGATTTTATTTTAAGTCCTACAAGTGCCGCACGTTGATGCCAGTACTATGATCATTGTGGGCCATCAAACTTAAGTGAATCCCTTTGTTGTTGCCAGCTATCACGTGGTCTCTTGAAAGAATTCCTTGACAAAAAGTTCCGCAACCGGCTTGCCGGTACCCGTTATTTCAGTAGACATCTGCGTTTTACAACGAATGATGTCGAAGTAATACTCACCAGATTAAAAATCTGATTCCAGGCGTCCACAGACAGTAGGGCAAACAGGACGCGTCGATCGCGTGCTGGAGGATATATTCCGAAGCATTTTTTCGAGGATATCAGAGTGTTGAAGCGATTACGTTCTCTTGTCAAGTTTGCGTAAAGAAAGACAGTACTGCTATCTACCAGTTTTGCTTTCCATTTACATAGATGGTTTGGAAAGCCCCGAATGTCTTTGACACCGACATGAAGCGGCTCCGATCTGGGTGAGAAATGACGCATTCGATTTGATAGTATTTTTTTCAGCTACACTGTCAAATTAAAAAATCTGTCATTGTTATCTCGAGGATATTAAGCGTCATGCGCAAGATACGCGAGTCAGGATATGCAAAAACTTGCCGATGTCAGCGGCAAGCTGAACAAACATCAGCGTGTTGTGGGGCAAAAGTCATTTTATGCAGTTAGCCTACCAACACATGCGTCGTCTGCGCTTTATAAATGGTGACCACGCTACATCCCAACGCTCACGATTAAATGCAGAAGGGACTCGAGTTGTATTCTTTGTATCCGTAGAGACTGCAAACACATCCTGTGTTCTTCATGAAGTAATAGAAGCCATACATAAAAAGATCCTGCTTTAACGTACATAAAATGTAAAAGTTCTGTCACCGATAAAGCAGCGTCTCCATCATCCCTTAACTACTCTCTGTTTCAAAACAAAGACGCGGAGGTACGCATCGCGATGGTGAAGCTCATAGGGAGGCCCCAAGAACTGACTCATTTTAAATGCACGCTGTGATTTCCGAAGAAGTTACGATGACCACAACGACGCGATCTAACGAGTGCCGGTCGCAAGACGGTCGATCTTTGCCGGTACCTATCGATAGACAAAAACCATTTTTACGTGGAACGTCTAGTGGGCTGGTGATTACACCAGGACAGTTATCCTGACTGTGTAATAGAAAAAATACTATCACTATGAATAACTTTTGGGAGTTTGGGAATCCACTCTGGTAAAGTTGCCCTGGTAGTACGGCCGCTTACAACTGTGTGCTCCATCGACCTTTATCTCCTTTGGCAAGTGGCAGGGTTCTCGTCTTAGCGCACTTACCACTAATGGATGGCGACCGACCTAAAGGTAAAAATCACTATCGTTCAGTAGCTGTTGCCGCTGTTTCGCGGAAATGAGCAGAATTGTAGAAATAGAAACTTGAGGTGGTGGGCTGTCACCTCGACGTCTGCATCGTGTTTTAATTTTAGTAAAGTCAGACATGAAGCTAAGCACTGAACGGACACCCGCTTATCTGAAACTGTCTTGTAACGCCTTGGAACGTGCAAGACGGTGTGGCACGATTTGAGTTTGATGCTCTCGCCACGTTTAACTATCTAATTAATTTATCTTGAAGGGTATGGTTTACCTAACAGCTGCCGCTTTAAGCGTATGCGGTGCTTCAAGGGTGTGATGACTCGTGGGATGAAAAAACTAGCAGGATGACTTTCTCGCACTCATTTTGACCTTGGTGTGAGCAGATGGTTTCCGCGCATATGTGTGCAAGAGCTCCGCCCCAGCGCGGCGAGCGACTTCAGATGATCTGAAACCTTAGTCACGGCAAGACGATTTGGCCAAGAGTCGGCGCGACTGAGCGCTTGTAGTAGATAGATCAAGTTTGGATATTCGAGCCGGACATACCTTGCGGATTATGAGCTAGTCATAGTCGTGAGTTCCACGGGCGTGATGTGTTGTGACAATTTGCGCCAATGGAACAGGACACTGAGAGCTTAACGCGCGCAGAGGAGAGTAGAGCGTAGGGTAAACTCTGTTTTTCAATAATTGGCTCGTTCTTATGGCTCTATCTGGGGGCGCGGGTGCTGAGCCAGAAATTGGAGAGTCGGTACAACCATTCTCGTCATAATGCTAATCGGCCTACTCCCAAGAGCAGCTCTTAGGTTGTCACTTTCGAAAGTGCCGCTTTGTGAGATGGTTACGGGAACATGTAATTGTATGTGTAAGAGAGGATCCCAATACAGATATGCTCTAAGAAGCAGGCAATGTAGAGTGCAAGGAGTGCAGTGAAAAAAAAATTCAAGTTGCAACATGTTTGCAAATTGCATACTATTGCGCAATTTCTAGATGAGTAAAAAATAATGAGCTTTATGTCTTTGTGGAGAAGGACGTAACCTGATGCGTACTGTACATTTGTGTAAATACATATTGTACCGCTTAAAATCCCTTTAATTTATCGTGGAAATCCATAGATTGCAGAGTATCGGTACGAGTTAAGATTATGGGACTACGTAAAAAAAGATCTGTATAACAAGTGGGGGTCACCACGTTGCAATGCCCTTATGATTCAAGCATAGAAGGTTTATAACGCTAGGCTACCGAGACGCGCCACAAGTTGTTGTCATCTTGACGACGTTTAAACCGTTGATGCGGACGCCAAACAGGCGACGCGTTGACTTCAGCGTCCAATTCCACGGATTTGAACCAGTTGAGGCCGTTGCGTCTTCTTTTACACAAAAGCAAGGTCTTTAACTGCATCGTCACCCCCTCCCCAAATTGTTCGAGCGCACACTTCAAGATCATGCGTAGATTGCTGAGACCACCAAGTTACTTAACGTGCGTCAATTGCCCCACTTGGAGATATATCAACCGCTGTCACACCATCTACTCTGAAGTACCTCGGTTAATCAAGTTTAATGTTTTTTGCCAGGCTTGAGAGTTTTCGCAATATTTCTCTTCTGACTGAAAATTTTAGGAATGACAAGGTGCACTCGACCATGTAAGTCACAGATGTAATACAAACCAATGATTTGACAAGTAATGTGGAATTCATTATGAATTGCTAATTTTATTAGCGAAAATGACCGATGATACATTGATTTTCTAGATAAAAGTAGCAGACAGTGATAAACAACAGACAGAAATTTGTATTTATTCATCTTGAATGACGCAGAATTCATCGAGCTCCGCCTTGTTGAACGCGTCGGTCTCACTTTAGTCATTTCTGTCTTCAAATCAAGAACTCATTCTCTCCGTAGACATCTTGGTAAAAATATGCCAGTCGTCACTGCTGTCAGTACACCTTACAGCTGTGACAAAGTTAGAAACGATGGCTGAATCGCACGACGGATCCAGCCACAAGCAACTTTCACATTAGGAGGACAAGGATTACCAAACTTTGTGTGCGAGACTTGATCGCTCTCCCTCCACGCGGTCATCTCGGCACTGAAAATGATATCTAATTGTCTGTAGGTAGCGATACCACGACATGCATATAGGATATAAGTTCGCCAGGAACAGTACACATTCCAATCGTATGCGTCTGACACTTGCTTGAAAGATGTGGGCTCTCATCACGTCCCAAATGAAGTGGCGTCCCTCACTGGTGTTGCGCTGAGGGAGCTGGAGATCGATACATAGCTTCAACGATGCATCGACTGCCCATGCTGCTGCTGTGCGACTTAGACGTAATTGATGTTCTGGAAAGATCCGGTCGGCTTGTCTTTCGGATGAAAACGAATATTAACAAAGTTCCACTCCCTGTTACGGCAAGGATAGCTGTAATGCGCATCGTCGCGAACCCTGTCGACCAAACAGCGACATGCCGTGTACGGTGTGATTGACGGTCACGGCACTTGCCTCCTCAAAGTAGACCGATGTATCATCCGTGAGGATGGCCTTCTTGCGGTTCATGCTGGGCTTTGCGTCGGCCAAGTGCCGCACGTACGAGATCGCTCACGCAGTGCACATCTCGTCCTTGAAGATAAATGGTCGGTCTGTGGCGGTGCGGTAAATCAAACCAACTATGAAACTGGCAAACCAATGTGTCGATGCCATAAATGGCTTTGAGTTCTCCTTCGTTACGTGCAGCAACGCGTAGATAGATGGCCTGAGCCATGACGACAATCCAGACACGTGTGTCCTTCTCTCTGGAAAGTCTCTTTGGAACGATCTCGTCGTAGAGCATGATTTCCATATAGTGTGGGATAGGCTTGTGCTCACCGGCAGAAAGGCGCTTCTGATGTGGAGAATATAATCACGCTTACGTCACTACTTTCGAACGGCAGTTCATCCACTCAGGACTAATCTTACCGTAGTGGGCCTTCGCTCGTGCGGGTACGCTGCCTCTCACTCCTGGATCCACTTGATAACTTCTTGCTTGGTGCCGATTTAAATTGTGTTGTGGCGTAACGGGGTTGTGCGTACTTAGAGTGTAACGGAGTTACACGTACCCTTGAATGAAAGTGGCGGGTCACACAAGATGGTGTGACCGTGCAAAGGTGTAGATTACACAAGTTGGTGTAATCACACAATGTTGTGGCTGCACCGTCACAAGAAGCTACTACGTGGCAGGAGTGTCAGCACTTATGCAATATTTAATAAGAAAAACCTAAGGTTTTAGATATTGGTGACTCTGCCGCAACAAAACAATTAACGGATTTTTTTCGAATAGTGATCGGTCTTTTATTTATCAGTAGCCTCAAGAAATCGATCACTTTTGACAGAAAGTCTACAATTCGTAGAAGGCTACTATATCTCGACGACGTCAACGTCATCCAAGGCTTGGTCTAGTTCATCTACATTGAAAGGATCATCCTCTCTTTCACTGTCGGCATTGCTCCACCTTTGCTGAAATTTCCACCCGTAAACATCATGGTTCCAAATGAACCACTGTGACGGACTTTTGTGAAATTCTGCAGCTTTAATGAAGTTCAAGACCACTGATGTGGGTGTTTCTCGCCACGTCGTACGTACCCAACTACACACAGTGTCAACGGATGGAGGGCGGGGGTTGCCGCGTGGGGTGTATTCAACGGCCGCTGA